AATTACCTAGTTCGGGCGGAGCTCAACAGGGTGGTCTACAGTGGCGGAGAAATCAACGATCTCGCTCAACTCCGGTACCCACTCACTTTCGCGCGGCCGAATCTCTCGATGGCGCTCCTCCAGAAGGCTGTGGCGGAGTATCATTATAGTATTTAATGTGCTCTTTAATATGGTAGTAAAAATGTCCGATAAAAATTTAAAATGACTTTTTTTGGCCCCCCCCCCTGTAGATTCAGCCACTCCTCCGCAGCCCCAATTTCCTCACTTGCACCTGTGGATGTTCCGAGCTGCCTTGGTGGGAGAAGAAGAGCAAAGCAGGGAGAGGAATTCCTAAGTGGAAGAAGTAGAAAGCTGGTGCAAGTGAAGAAAGACAATCTCAGCGTTGATTGCACGTAACAACTTTGCTTTCCATGGCTAACAGCTTGGCTTCTAAAATGAAAAAGTGATGTAATAAAGTTAAATAAAGTTAGCTAACTCAATATGAATTTTCCTACTTAGAGCTGGTTGTCTGGAGTTAACGAAGCTGTCGTTCTATTCAATATACGAATCGTTGAAGATCTTCGTTATACCACGTGAAGGACATCGTCGTCTTTTCCTTTACCTATCATTTGGTGCCAATTTCTTGGACCAACTATCATTCGGCGAAGAAAAAAGTGAGGTGAAATTTAAAGTGCCTGGATTCATGACTGCTATCGGTACCTTTAACATTTAAGGTCTAATCGGCACCTATACGCTTCTGTCGCCTTTCAACTGGACCAAAGACGAGTATGCTAATTACAAATCCTTGAGGCCCATTGTTCGTGAGTTTAGGTCCAAGTGCCTTACAGATCATTTCGAGGAAAAAACTTCGGGGCAAAATCCTAAATAACATCACCGTAGCTTCTTGGACCAATAAAGCCTATTCCAGAGATTGTCGGCATGTTCTTTGGACTAATCGCGCTGAAAAAGTGGTTGAAACTTCGTGATACATTTGTAATCTGCTTGGCAATTGGAACTCTGTCCATTTCGCTCTTCATGATTGGGTTAGCGCAGGTTGGACAGCCATTCGTTCTTCCTCAAACCTCAGATTTAGTAGTAAGCGCTGAAGTTCTAAGTTACCTGCGTCTCTACAATGTTTAAATTGAACAAAGCTAGTTAAAGTCAGGGCACACATTCTAATTATTTGTTCTCTGCAATTAGTGATGTTTAACTGCGATTTAGTAGGTACTGAATAAGTTAATATTATGTGCCTGCTCAAAGGCACCTTTTCAAAAGTAGTGTGCACGGCAGCTGTGGGCGGGCGGTTGTGCCAGCGTCATTGGTGGAAGGGCGGAGTGAATTGCAGTGGAACGTCCTGTCGCAGCCCGTCCACCAATGACGTTGCAACCGCCTGCCCCAGCCATTGTGCCACTGCATTGCCTCGTCCATATACTAACCTCGTAAAGCACGCCTGTCTTTGAGATGCGAATTTCATTTCTTTCAACTTCCTTCGGAACCCTTAGCCTTGCATTCCTGAAATATTTTAGGCGTCATGGTTGATCTTTGCTAGCATGGCTCCGGGAAGTCTTCACGGATTGCTCAACCCCTTGACGTACACATTTTTGTCGTGCTTGATTGGACGAGATGAAGTGAGAAAGAAATGAAATTC